ACAAGAGAGATGTCCATAGTAAAAGTATTCAGTAAATGCCTTGTACGCGGCATTTCTGATATAAAAGAAACTACAGGTAATCTACCCTGTTTCAAAAATTTCTGTCTTCTAATCGTGTCATTTACTCTAAGTAAATTACGATTTTCTAAATAATGTCCATTTAACCTGTAACAAAAATAATTTTGGTTAAACAATTTCCGATTCTCTTAATACTAAAAATTTTTTAACTATTTCCACAGCACAAGTATAGTTAACACCATTTCCTAGTCTAATAAAAACTTCTGTATTAAAAGATAAAAAGTTACGAAACTTTACTTAATTTTTTAAGAGAATTTTCTTGTTATAGAGAAAATAAAACTTTGCAACATTGCAAATACTTACTTGTTATTATTGGAAGTGTTTATTGTCATGCTAAAGAATGCATGTTCATTATAGGCATCTAGTAAGGGTTGACGATTCTCACTATCGAATATCGTAAAATATTGTTGCAAAAATTGACTTGCAATTTCTTTAGCTTTTGCATCTTGGACATACATCTGTTGCGACGAAGGAATTTTGGCAGCTTCATCCACCATATCGAAAACAATCGGTCGTGGTAGTTCCGTGCCATCCTGCAAATAATAGCAACAGCAAAATAAAATCATGTTACATAAAAAAATACAATTTAAAAAATGTAAAACTGTGCATGATATATTTACCAGACGCAGTAATCTTGAGAATCGTCTCCGAACATCGCTATAATTGAAAAGAAAAAGTCCGGATGGTCCAAATAATAAAAAAGGTTAATACACAGATTTATCAAATAATATAAGGAAGAATATGAATTATTTACTTCAAAATTAAAAATTATACGTGCAGTTTTATAAAAATTCACAAAATTTAAAAATATGTTACATCAATAAATAGAACATTACTGTTATGTATGTAACAGTAAATATATATATATATATATATATATCACAGTAATTATATATTATTTATATTATTTATATATTATTAAAATTGAGAGTAAATATATATACTTTGTTATACAAATAACAGTAAACGTTGCATTCAATTTAATATAAATACTATTTAATTTAATGGAGAATAAATTTTAAATAAAAAATGTTTACTAAGAAAGTTTTCAAAATAAGTAT